AAAGCGTCTTATATTTTTCATTTCGGAAGTATCGATTCTTTCATCATCATTTTTGTGTTGGTAAAAAAATGAGAAGACAACGAAATTTATGGAGTGGTCAGATAGGGATTTTGAGAACGGAAGATGTCTACAAATAGATTCTGAGAAAGGGAAACGATACAAGTTTGAGGAAGTAGATACATTCACACATCTAAAAAACCAAATGTAACTCAAGAAATTATGCCAAGAATAATGGCAGGAAAGAGATGTGTCAGCGCACTACAGAAAATGATTAAGAGCAAGAACATCCCTAGGAGTTTAAAAATCAGAATGTAGCAAACAATAATACGACCAATAGTGCTATATGCATGTAAAACGTGGACGTTCATTGCAACGGAAAGTTCGAGGCTAGAAATTTGGGAAAGAAAAATAGTGAGGAAGATTTTTGGAGGAAAGAAGATAGACAACATATGGACTAGAAGAACAAATGAAGAATTAAAGCAACTATATCGGGCACCGAGTATAACGGGAGCAGCAAGAGCACAAAGACTGAGATGGCTGGGACACATTGAAAGAATGGCTGAAGCAAGAATTCCTAGTATGATAATGAAACGTGAAATAGGTGGAAAGAGAAGGAGGGGTAGGCCGAGAACCAGATAGAAAAAGGATGTTGAAAGGACTTGAGAAGGATAAGAGTGGATGGGTGAAGAATAAAGGCGAAAGACAGAAACAAATGGAGAAAGACAACCAATCAAGCCATGAGCCTTTTAGGTTTTTAGAGCCATTATATATAATCTACTCTGCGACCTATGTGAAAATCTCCCTTTTTAAGTAATCTTTATGTTGTATTTAATGTCTTAATACAAAAATTACGAAAAATGTGAGTGTCTTCTTCAAAAGCGAATACCCCTAACAAAACTCAAGTTATTAAGATAAACCAAAAAAACAATTGGGAAAGGATATATCTAGATGGTAAAATGGTTTTTAAATTCCTTGCTAACTTAATATCAACATAGTGTTTTCCCTCGTATAATTGACAGATGGGAACGTTCATTTTTATTTTAGAAAGATATACTAAAAACCAAATAGTTTAGCTACATATTGCTGAAAAAAATTATGAAACTTTGCTAGAACAAAATATATTAATCTTAAAATACATCAAAATTTTAAAGTGGCCGTTTTTCGTGCCGCTGAGTGTATACTCTTTTTTTTCTCAGGTAAGATTTCGACAGACGATGACAGAAGAAAAGCAGATGACGTCCCATACCAATCTTTGAATAAAAAGACTAAGGAAAGAGCATATCAAAAATCTTAGGTACACCGCGATGGGCCTCAAATATGACCGACTTAAATTCCGGTTTATCAGTGCCGTTCTAATTTTATTTAAAAAATGTAAAACTATGATTTAGGGTAGACGTGGGGTAGACTCAATAATTTGTTATTTTATTTTACGTTGTGAATAAATATTGGTAGTTATTAAAATTGTTATAAAAATATATAATTCTAATAAAAATAGATAAGTTATAATTTTTAATAAGTATTTATTAACACAAACATCCGATACGCTACTGAAGCAGGTAAGTCAAATTAACGTATCAAAATTCTTTGACATCTGATCTTTGACAAGTAGTAAATAAAAGCTAAAATGCAAGAAAATATATAATGGAAGAAAATATATAATTAATTTAAGTGAATTTTATAAATGATCGGTTTACTACACGTATGTATATTATATAGTCACTTACTAGCGAAAAGTTGTTCCATTATTTCACTCAATTTTTGCCGAGATCTACCGCACGCTACACAACCAACTATTTTAGAGTCTTTTTCGATAAATCGCGATAATGTCACTGTTAATTTAAGTTCTGCCACAATTTCCATCTAGATTTACTATTTAAGTTCTGCCACAATTTCCATCTAGATTTACTTGTTTATACAACTATCAGTAGTAGAATAAATAATAAATAACATAAAATAAGCTCCGTAAAGACTGACAAATCCACAAAATTTCAAATCAAATTCAAATGCGTCAAATGAATCGTCAAACAGAACTGTCAAGGATCCCCACCCTAGAGTGCTTTTTCTGCCCACCATGCATGAATACATGGATAGCATTATGCTCCTTCCTTTAGTCTTCTTATTTAAAGATACCAATCTATTTATTTTACTAAAAAAAGTTTTTATAATTTTTAAGTTAACTATGGATGGGTTTAAATATAAATTCGTCATGCGTCGTCACTTGTTGTTTTTAACCAGTTTTATTGGTTTATTTCAAAAATGACAGATCGTATTTCAATTTTATTGGTTTGACGGAACGATGAACGACAAACGGATGCCGATGCGTATGAACTCGCCTTTAGATTTTTGACGTTTGTCAAAGTCTTGCCAAATTATAGGTTATAATTTTGTGACAATTTTTGTCAAATACCCTGCGTTTTGGAATTTGGAAGATGATGCATTTTGATTCGTGTTATTACGTGTGTTTTGTGTCTTTTGAAGTCAAGTGGAGGAAAAATCGAGTGAAAATTAACTGTAGAACCCAGAGCACAGTTTATGGTTAATACTCGCTGCCCAGGAAGAAAGTCTTATACAGATACACCAATAAAGTTACTATCAATAAAGTTCGTATACCATCTCGTCGTAGATAAGTACATCTCGAATATGGTAGAAGGACCATACTCTAAACACATACTAAAAACTGGAGTAGCTGTAAAATATCGACATCACACGATAGCTAATTAATGGATTTTAGTACTGCAGAAAAATAATGTCAAAAGGTACTGGTTTAAAAAAAAAATAAGATTAAAGTTAATTAATCAACCTGTGAGGTATAAAATTTGGTAAGTGTTATTATTAATAAAATAGTTTGTTTTATTTATGTTGTTTTATTTATTCCTGCGGCATATTACAAATTTGTATCTGTGCATAAGTTATATTGATAAATATAATCATATATGAGGGAAGTTTCATAAAGCTTGAAAGTAAGAAATAGTTCTTTTTTATATTTTTTGGTATGTGGTGTCTTGTTTTTGTTTGTTTTGTATTAACTGTAATTGTATATTAACACGTATCGTTTTTTATTAAATAAAATAACTCGATTACATTTTTTCAGTTTTATACAGTTTTTTTCACAATATTTTGAAGTTACTTGTCAGTCAAATTTTAAATACATATATTAATTTCCTGCTATGCGTTCCAGTTGTACCAACTTATTCCTTTGTAAAATAAAATAAACTACTTTGAAATTAAAATGACAGACACATCTATCACTGTCAAGGATCTTCTCGTTGGACAGACTATAGTAGCAAAAAAATCTGAAACATTTTCAAAAAATGTACCAGCCACAAAAGTATAGACATGATTTAGAATCTGTCTAGACAAATCATGCATGACTAGTTTAAGTTGCATTAAAATTTTTTCCCCTTCATCGAATCCATTGAAAGTAGAATGGAAAAAATTGAGTTATCTGTAGATGATTTGGAGTTATCGATTTTAATTATTGTTAACCACTATTTTTGGTAATAAAACATTTAAACGTAATTAAGTTATGGCGCAAGATAGGCAAAATTCGTATTGCTGTATTGTGAATGTCAAGAACTATTGCAATTTAAATTAATGGTATTATTATGGGTGAATGTACTGAAAATCTAAGAAAATAATATTTAACAATCAAATTTTCAATTATACAGGTATTGTTTTGAAACATTGTAAGTGGGAAAATGTTTTTTAAGAAACTCCTGTATTTACAGTTGGTTTATATTTCCTTCAGTTTTTCCAAAATAATTCAAAACCCAGTCACACAACTCAAAACCAGTCAACACATAAACGAAAGTAATTATTTGATAACTTCCATGTTTTGGGAAAACAGCACAATTCACGAATTTTCGAACGATCAACAATAAACAGACACTTCTGTTCTACGCCTATAAAGATTTCTAACATCACAGTTATACCGCAATGGACAAAATTCATATTGTATTGTGAACGTCAAACGCTATTACATTTTATATTAATGATCTGATGAATTATACGAAAAAACAATGTTCATAGGTAAATAAACTGAAAATCTATCATAATAATTAACAATGAGGACCTCTATGTCAACAAATAATAATTAAAAACTGAGATGGATCATTTAAAAAAATAAACACAATCTCACAATCAATTTATGTGGTTTTGCAATGAAAAATATTGCATTTTATGATAACAAATATACTACTAGTATTCATAGTAAGAGATACTTGTGCCTACACACAGATCGCTGTTCTATAAATTATTTCTTATTCTTAAATCATAGTTTAAAAAATTTGACATAAGGAAATTGACATTAAATCAACCAATCAACGCCCACAAAAACCTATGACGTTATAGGTATCCACAATAGACAAAATTCGTACACCTTTATTGTAAACGTCAAAAGCTAGTGGTTTTTAAATTAATGAGCTGATAAATTAAACAAAATCACAAAATTTGTAAGTGGATCTAACGAAAATATATTGAAATGATATGCTACAATGAGCAGCTATTATGTACCTACTAAAAGTAAAACAAAATTCTTGATGCTTCTATTAAAAAAGAAAAAAAATCTCCCAAGTGTTACTGAATATATCGCTTCTCTGAGAAAAAATATCGCATTTACATTTATTAACAAATAAATAATGATTGCATAAATACTATAAGTTAATACTAAAATAATTAAAGATAAAGATTTAAAAAATAAACACCAATAAATCAACACTTAAAAGCTTCCCATTAAAGTGACAAGTCGGCCAATCAACGCCCATGAAGACCTCTTACGTCATAGTTATACCACAATAGACAAAATTCGTATTGTTGTATTGTGAACGTCAAGTGCTATTGCATTTTAAATTAATGAGCTGTTAAATTACACGAAGACTGGATATTTATGAGTGAATGTACTGAAATAATATTCAACAATCAAACTTTGAATTATGCAGGTATTGTTTTGAAATATTCAAGCGGGAAGAAAGTTTTTTTAAAAAAGAAACTCGTCAACTTACCATTTGTTGATATTTCCTGCAGTTTATTTCCAAAATAATTCAAAATCCAGTTACACAACTTAATAAACGAACAGTAATTATTTTATAACTTCCATGTCTTTGGGATAAACAGCACAAAGCACGAATTTTCGAACCGATCGGGTTTAAATGTTTTTTTTTCGGTTTCAGCGCGACGAATTGCGCCTGCTGCTGTCAGGTTCAGCTGACGTACGCCCGAGCTGAAGCGGCTGAAGACTGAAAAACCGTGCTGCTGTTTGGGAAATAATTTCCACAAGAATTTCGAACGCGGACAGCAGGAGAAAGTTACGGCGCAGAGATCTTTGCAGGCCTGCTGGGAGCACCAGGTCGAAGTGCGCCGTTTTATTCGGTGGTATGGATGGTGGAGGATAGATGGCGCCAAATACATTAAATCCAATTAAATCCTGAAACTATTGGCGCATACAGGGTGGCCTATCGAAAACGTCCCGCAAGGCATAACAGCCAGGGGCGCTATTCTGTACAGGGTGGGTCAAATTCGACGCTTTTAAATGGCAACACCCTTTTCTATAGGAGATAGACGAAAACTAATATCGGTGTCTGGAGCTCAATCTTCATCAAAAACATGATGGTGAAAACCGCACATCAATATCTGTTACCGTTTCGGAGTTACGGGGTGTTTTTCAAAACTGTGCATTTTTAACAAATCGCTGTAACTTTTTTGCTATGGAAAATTTTGTATTTCTATGAAAACATTTCCAAAGCACCTTTTTACGTAGAATTTAATGGTTTAAGTATAATTTTTTTAAAATTAATAATTTAAGAGTTATCAACAGAAAAATTGATTTTTTATTTGGGACACCCTCTATATTTTTAATTATCTGAAAAGAATTTAAAATTACCTTTCCAAAAATATAGTACACTTGATATTTTGTTATAATCCTCTTCGAAATACAGAATTTTTGAAAGTTCGCCACTTTTAACTAGTAGGCTTTGGACCCCTTATTGATGATATACCTCTAATGGAACTCGAAAACATATTTGTCCAGCAAGACGACGCACCGGCTCTGAACGCTGAAGTTATTAGCAAATTTTTGCAGCCAATTTCAAGAATATTTGAATAGCTAACCAAGATCCCAGCCGTTGGCCGTCGAGGCCGCCTGACCCATGGATCTAATCCTATTGATATATTTGCGAAAAAAAGGTTCCTTATTCTTCCGTATAATCTAGACAAGAATTAGAAATACTTAGCAGTTATGAGAGGGTATCTTTCACCCCCACTGAGTTAATGAATTTCGCGAGAAATGTTCAAAAACTGCCCCGTCTGTCCATAACAAAAGACGGTCGATATGTTGAACACCTCTACCAAAATTTCATGTCTTGGTTTGCTATTTATTTTTAATGTTATTAGATATAGTTTAAATGTGTTGATGTTGGTTAAATATGTTTTAAATTGTTATAAAATTCTGCATCTCTCATAGCAAATATTATTTTTGTTTTAATTGATGTTCACAGCTAGAATTTTTTTGCATTACAGCCGGTGCCGTTCAAAGCCTACTTATTTAAAGCGGGAGAATTTTTATATACTCTATATCTCGAAGAGGAATCGAGCAAAATATTAAGTATGTTATATTTTTGGAAAGGTAATTTTAAATTCTTTGCAATAAATTAAAAATATACAGGGTGTCCCATATAAAAAATCAAATTTTTTGTTGATAATTCTTAAAATATTAATTTTAGAAAAATTATATTAAAACCATTAAATTCTACGTAAAAAGGTGCTTTGGAAATGTTTTCATAAAAATACAAAATTTTCCATAGCAAAAGAGTTACAGCGATTTGTTAAAAATGCATATTTTTGAAAAACACCCCGTAACTCCGAAACGGTAACAGATATCGAAATGCGGTTTTCACCATCATGTTTTTGACAAAAATTGAGCTCCAGACACCGACATTAGTTTTAGTCTATCTCCTATAGAAAAGGGTGTTTCCATTTAAAAGCGTCGAATTTGACCCACCCTGTACAATCGTCGGTATCGGTAAGTTACCGACAGCTATCGGTACGTACGGTCAATGAGCGTCGTGTTGATTGTTGTTGTCATAGTTACCGATCGGCCCTATGGCAGATATCGTGAATTTGTACCTTAGATTAAGAATAAAAAATTTGTACCGATGACTCTCGGTATCTCTAGCTTGAGGTTAAGCAGGGTACGGTAGAGAAACCGATTTTTGTCGGTACAAATTTGCGATATCTGCCATGGGACCGATCGGTAACTATGACAACAACAATTAACACCCTTTTTACTATATACGCTATATAAAAATACGTATCGAGAGCTGTCGTAACTTACCGATACCGACGATTTTACAGAATAGCGCCCCTGGTAGTGATGGGTTGTTATTTAACTATCTGTTATTTTATAACAATTATTTAGAAATAACATAACGCAACCGTTACTACTTCTAAAAAATAACAGATATAAAATAACGACACGTAGAGATCGGCCGCTCGTGAAACAAAAAACGAAGTCGGCGCTCTGCACCACCACGAAATTCTATACTGCTCGAAGCAATTCCAAAAAACAACTAGTATCGATGGAAAACATGTTATTTCGTCAACCATCGATACAGGCGGCGAGACAACGGACAACGGAGTGGGGAATGCGCTACGGAGAACGTAGCTGCTTCAGTCGACGCCGTCGATGGTCGTATTGGGTTTGCAACAGCTTAAAAATAATAGGATATAAAAGAAGCAGGTTTTTTGAAACAGTTGCGGGCATAACGCCTGGCGGTCGAGATAACAGGAGTGGGAAAGGAACGCTGCTGCATCGGTCGATTGTCGATGGAGGCTCGAAACAGATTGGAGAATAACGCATCAGTTGTTTTAGATACATTGTTCTTCAACCTGTTACGAGCATAACGGGCGGAGGTCGAGATATTATGGCGCCGTATGTTTCAGTACGTTATTACGTTTCAATATTTAGGTGTTTATTTATTCTGAAAAATTTTCATATTTTAGATTTTTTAAAAATGTATACAGGGTGTTTTGAAAATCACCATTCAAAAAAACAATGTTTCTGTAGCAAGGTTTCATCAATCACGACACAACGTTTAGAAATCAACATTACAAAGCAAACTGTTTGGGGATTGACGGCAATGTTGCAAATGTAATGTGAGGTTTTTTGCCTGGTGGGAAGATAACCAAAAAATACAAGGGAGGTCGAAAAATGCAACATTTTCAAATTCGCCCTGTATTTCAGAAACCAAGAACAAATCTGTGTATAACATTTTTAGTTTCATAAAAAGTAGCACACTAAATGTGAAAACCGCATCTTTGTACCTCTACTCATAAATCTCCATAAACAAGAAACCCTGTAAAACACACTAAAATGGGACACCCTGTACATATTCTCTACAATATAAACCGGCAGAATATGCAAACCTGAAATAATAATATATTAGGTTTAATAAATAAATATACTATATGGGACAAAAATAAAAAACAATAACTAGACAAGTACATTTTTACTGTTCCAATCCTAACAAAATAATAACTATCGACAGGAAACAGCTTATTTTTATTGTACACCCATGGACAAAAATAAATAACTACGCATCAGAACGCTAAATGTATACTATTCGTTTGGCATTACTGCATTAGTTTAATAAATTGTAATTGATTCATAAAGTTTCATATGTCAAGCAATATAAATATATCACAGAAATTAATTTATGGCATGAGAACAAAGATTATAATAATAATTAAAAATATTTAATATTATTTACTGAGAAAAACTAAACAAAGCTAGTGATATGAGGGATTAAAAAAATATGAATGTAAAAAATAAGTTAGTGTAACTGGTTTTAAATATCCAACATAAATAAGTGATAAAATAATCTTCGAAAACAATAACTATTTTTTTAGTAACAAATAATTCCCCTTTTGTGTCGTAATTGCTATCTAATCCTATTGTGCAGTATTTTCCATTAAAATTGATTAGATATGTATAACAATTCCTCAAAAAAATACTGCTCCTATTTTACAAATATTTAACACATTAATTTTAAAAATATTTACAATGAAAGGGTTCAATCAATGAATGTCTGTGTGAAACTAATAATAAAAATACTATTTACAGAATATACAAAATATGAGATTAATCGCTTTTTTTTAGTAGAATATATGTATATCACTAATAATCTAGGAATTATTCTTTTATGTGCTTCAATAGTAAATTAATAAAAATATATTTTAACCCCTGTCCACAAAGAAATATTTTTGTTTAATGATTAATCCTTGTCCATCAAAAATTAATTAGTTCTTTGCAAAAAAAATGTATTGATAAAGTATTTTTCGTTTGTTTCTTTAACAATTATTCTTTGCCTTTAAAAAGAATATTTAAAATTATTATATATTCACTTAATCTGAATCACTTTATCAGTGACTCAGAAAAAAATTACTAGTGTATCTGTAAAAATTAATATATTATATTCTCCTAGGTCAGAATATTAACCGTTATCATGCAATTTTAAATTAATTTACAAATTCTATAGATTGCTTTACATATAAAACTTTAGTATGAGCAGGCCTCGAAAAAAAAAATTACAGCTCACAAACAAAAAAATATTTTATAATAAACTCCCAAAATTATATTATTTACTCCAAAAAATACTTAACTTTCGCGAATTTTACACCTCTGAATGGCACCTATTACTCCAAAAACAAAACTTTAATAACTACATTCTTTATAAAAGAAAAAACAATAAGATTTATCTTTCAGAAATAAATAAGAGAAAAATGTCATAGTGGACATTGGAAGAGTAATCGATGATAATTTCTGCCAGGCCGATCTCTATATTTCAGGAAACGTACATTTTTTTCTTTTTCCAACTCAATACCAAATCTTGAAAAAAATCAAAATTCTCTATAGATAACGATGAAGTATTTTCAAAAAGTTCTGCATTATCAACTTACTAAATTATACATATTTCTCATCACACAGTATTACCGCATTTTGCATAAAAAAAACTTAATTTTGAAACACCATTTGTTCTAAAAACTTGTTGATGTTAGCCAATGATCAATCAATCAAAAATACAAATTCAATAACTTTTACTGGTATAGTCTGTGAAACGAATAACTTTGAATTTGACAGTTCCCGCGGGCTTTTCTAGTGTTAGTTTTATTAGGTTAGCAACTTGCGGGCCATGCTGCTGCAATGCCGTCTCTAATAGAACAGCCTCGGAGCGAGATTTCTGACGTCACGCTAGTTAGATACTACGGATTAATTATGTTGTAGAATACATGGAAAACATTCCTCGTATATGTAATTTTTTGGATTATATTCGACACTATTTTTTTCATATGACAGAACACTGATGAAGGCTATAAACGTTAGCTATAACGTTTTTTTTTAAACAAAAAAAATTAAAATGAAAAACCAAATGAAAACTTAATCAGCGTTTTTCCCGAACCTAAATCCCAAAAAATCAAAAATTTTAGAATAATTTTACATATAAAATGACAGCGATCTTCATTTCATAGCCATCGCTGACGCCTTTTTTTCTATGATATTGTATTATTTGCAGATATAATTTTTCGCACATTGATGCTTGCAAAATGTACATATAAATTTTGTGAATGCAAATAATAATACCTCACTATTAGTAGATATTGAATGTTTTTTGTTAAATTAGATCGATTTTCAAACCCCAAAATTTAAAATATATTTTACATTTTACCCATTATCTTATGTACCTATTCATTATTTGTATATTGTAAAACATTTGATGCATTTGTATGGTTCATAGTTTATTTGCCAAAATATTTATTACTATAAATAGGTATATATATATATTGTATTTATTAACTGAATATTATGTATAGTTCATGTAAACTATATCATTTTTAAAATACAAACCAAAAATACGAGGAATAATTATGTTTTCCGTGTATTCTACAACATATTTATTAATCCGTGGTATCTAACTAGCGTGACGTCATAAATCTCGCTCCAAGGCTGTTCTATTAGAGACGGCATTGGTCTGATATTTAGAAATATCAAAGGCTGATGACATTTTACTTTTGTCAATTATGACATTTCGCGTTGATTTTTGCAAGAAGAGGAAGAACTATCACTTGTTTTATTATTTTCCTTTTCTATTTCACGAAAGTAAAAAGAGTTACCTATCTGATTCGTTCAGGCACTCATTTTAAAGAATATCAGTAACTTTTTGGACAGAGGGCTTTTATATTTGAAATGTTGGTAAAAAATAATGGCCAAAATTCAAAGTTATTCATTTTATAGACTATATCCCAGGATTGGCATGGTAGTGGCACCACTATGTCAGTCATGGTGTACCAGTGCAAGTGGCGCCACTTACTGGATACATGTAAATTAGCCATAATATAAACTTTTTCTATGTCAAAAAGTGCTTGTTCTACTAAATAAAAACCAATATACATGAAAATGTCTGTATCCACGGATAATTCTGGCTTATAGCTTGTCATTTTTAATATAGGAAATGTTTACTTTTAAAAAGTCATACAAAACTCAAAAGATTAGGTAGATTAAATTTAAAAAAAACCTTTATCAGTTATTTATAATCATGTTACTCACAGTTCCAGAAAGAATGAATTTAATTACTAGACTGATCCTTTTATATATATATAATTGAGTAAAACTACTAATTTCTATATAGCATGTGTTTCAATATCAAAAAGTAGTGAAAAACTCATAAATTGTACTAGCAAACAATGCCCAAAAACCTTTGTATCCATGGATGATATTCGTTACTAAATTGTACCGTTTTAACGTAGTAACTTTCAGTTAGTAACTTTCGGTTTTTTTATTCATTCAATATGAAGTACACTGTTTATTTAATACATTAAAATCGGAATTAAATTACTTAACAGCTTATTCTATAAATATATTCACACTAACCTAACGAAACGTCTTTATTTTAATGCGTGCTGACAAAGACAGAAGAAGTAGACCCGTAATAAAAACTGTTGATAGACAGAGAAATAAATTAATGCAATGTTGCCAGTTTCCACGTACGCTGGTTAAAGATGAACATAAAGGTTATAGAATTGAATTAAGAGGGCACAGCAATACAATTTGAAATATTAAGTTCGATCATTGATAAATATATTAATAGCCCCTCATACACCAGAAGATTTAGCCTGCAGACTTGGTGTCTGGACTTTTTGGGGCCCAATTTGGCTTGCCAATTAAATCTTTTTTTTAATCGTTTTATAGCAGTTTTTATATAGATAAATGTTTATCGGAATAACTAATAACAGTCGCTTTGAAAGAAATAACGTTACAAGTTCCCGAATCTTATCGTTAAGATCAGATCTAATTCTGCGGATATGGCCTGTGAGAGGCTTGGCCTGCCATAGACTTGATCCACCACACAAACACGAAGTTTTTATCCGCAGGGTAAATGCCGAAGGTTCTATAACATTAGTTTTTTCTAAATTTAGGTTCAAGAATCATCTCCTTAAATATTAGCATGTCATTAAGGAACACCCTGTATTTATTTATTTAAATATTCTGGTTTATGGGGGTAATAGTTCAATATAGGAAGCAATTATTTGATGCACAATCCCTCATAGAAAAAATGTATCAATTCGCATTAAAATTTATACCGCAGATTTAGAATGATTATGACTGTATATGAACTGTGTCTGAAACAAAAAAGTACTTGAAATAATAAATAAAAAATAGGAACAATCATTAACGCGTCCATGGGTGTAGTTAATTTTATTAATCGCTAAGAAATATAAGTACGACCGGAGGCCGAGTACAGTCACCCCCGATCTACGACAATAACGAGTAAGATACCTTAAATAAAACGAAAAAGATGGGGTATAAAAATCACTCTTAACAAACAAGACGGAGGCGAGCGTCAGGCTCGGTACCTAAGCGAACAGTTCACTATACCCGTAGTCGTCCGAATCCGAGTCGGACGATGTCATGTTCATCAGCCTGTCCAGCGCCATGTAGCGCCTAATGTCGCCCCGGTCGTACAGCTGCATGGCGATGGTGGGGTCGTCCAGGTCCAGATCGTCGTCCTCGTCCCAGTCGAACACGTCGTCGTCGTTCAGCCAGTAGAGGATCTCGTGCACCAGGTCCGGGTCGACAGAGGCGCGTCGGCGGCGCGGCTTGGGCGGACCCACGTCCATCTTGGTGCCGTCGGGCAGGGCGTGCAGGTAGACGCAGGTGTTGCCGAAGGGGCAGCGCCCCGTGCCGCGGTTGTAGTAGCGGCAGTGGATCTTCTGCATGCGCGAGCGCTCGTTGGCGATGAAGGTGTCCTTTTCGGCTTTCTCCTCGAACCATATCCGGCTCGGGTACACATAGTCTAAAACAGAAATAGATATTCTATAAGCTTTCTTTCTTGGCCGTTTTACAGACAGGCAAGTAAAGTTAGCAACTCAGCAACTATAATGCGTGCGCATTGTGGAATGTTTGCTGCAACTTTTCTTGCACTTGCGAATGGTGCATTCTATTTTAAAGAGAGCGCTTTGTTAAGCGCTCTCTATAATATGTTTATTATTGTAACCCTTAAAAGATTCAGTGCAGAAGGTTATTGGTAGTTTGGCGAAGGCGCTGGGAAATACCGAAAATAAGAAAATAATATAAGGAAGCCAGCTGGAGTTTTGGGGGTTAGGTTAGATTCGTTTTGGCGTTGATGCACATAGCGTCTTTTGTACTTTGCTAATAAAAAATTGATAAAATTTAAGCGGTGAAGTTTGAATTTGGTGTATTCGTACATTATACTATTTATTATATACAGGGTGTTTCAAAAAACATGTGCCATCTCTCGTGGGAAGATTCCTCACTAAGATGAATTTTTCATATCAACATAGGTCTGATTCTGCTTTGTTTCGTAGCTACAGGGTGTTAGAGTCTTAATAATTTTTCGATTTATTATAATTTTCTTCCAAGTACTTCTACCGATTCGAATGAAATTTTGAGGGTAAAAGTAACTATATGTACTACATATTCTAATGCTAAAAAAGTGTCGATAAATTCATCAGCGACATGCATAAAAAACATGTGCGGCACTGACTTTTTTCTTTTCATATCAAAATTGTGTAGGTCGTTTAATGCCAATTAAGTTCTCTCTTGATATTTTGTCGAATTCGGCCTCCTTGAGGAGATAAACGCAATTTTATTAACCACAATTAATAAAATTAAAATTAAAGCAAAATTAATAAATTATATATTTTACCTAATTTATTATTAAATATTATTACTATTAGTCCAACTTACAACGATTTCAAATAAAAAAATAATAGTATTTGAGATAATTACAAAAAACCTTTTTTTGAAACACCCTGTATACAGTTACATATGCCATCTCTCGTGGGGAGATTTCTCACGTAAAAATAAGATGAATTTTTCATATCAACATAGGTCTGATTGTGCTTTGTTTAGTAGCTACAGGGTGATAAAGTCTTAATAATCTTAGATTTATTATAATTTTCTTCCAAGTACTTTTAGTGATTCGAATGAAATTTTGAGGGTAAAAGTTACTATAAGTGCTACATATTTTACCGCTAAAAAAGTGTCGATAAATTCATCAGGGACGTGCATATGGGTTATCACTCGAGTATTTTTCAAAAAAAACATGTGCGCCACTGACTTTTTTTCTTTGGATATCAAAATTGTGTAAATATGTTTAATGCCAATTAAAATTCGGCCTCCTTGATGAGATGATCATGAGAATAAAATTAATAATATTAATTAATAATAAAAATAAAATTAATAAATTATATATTTTACCTAATTTATTATTAAATATTATTACTATTAGCCTTGTTTATATATTCTTAAAGTTGATCAACCGACTAGACAAAATGTGCTGCCAACTCGAGGACAAATCGTGAACCTTTCGGGGCGGAGTCAAAAATATCGATTATTTTCGTTATTTTCCTCAGAGTAATGTAATAAAATAGCCCGGGTTTCTGCGAACTTTAATAGTGATCAGCTGATTAAGAAATTTAAACGAAACTTTTATTTTATTGTAAATTGTGGATTATTTTTGCCTGTTATTTTAAGAATTCTAAACCGTATTAACAAAGAAGTTATTATTTCGATATGTTGGTACATTATTTATAATTTATGATAATGCTAATTGGCTGTTAATTAATATTAAAAAAAAGTTACATACCTATTTTAATTTGATTTAATACAGGTTTATAAAAGAATCATTTCATTCTTAGATTATTTTATTTTAAATTGAGTACTTTACGAATTTTACGATATTTTTTTTTTAAAACATAAAACTTTTTACATTTTTGATGCCAACTAACTGGCATGGTATTATTGGTATGGAAATTAGCCAAGAAAGAAAAGAATTGGCTATAACTTGGAGAGAAAAAAAATGGAGCTTTTTATGAAGTCATGGTCAACTATGGTTCCCATTTAAAAAAAAACATAATGTTTGTGTCATATGTCAAAAATGACAGGCTTTACGAAAAAAAACAGAAAACACAAACTCATTAGGTATGTCATTATCTAAAACTTTTATCTGAAAACTTTTTGTCTAAAATACCGTATGATCGAATAAAAATGGCGTCAGCGATGGCTATGAAATGACGATCGATGATATATATTTCCCATATAATTTTACATATAAAATGACAGCGATTTTCATTTCATAGCCCTCGTTGAAGCCGTTTTTATTCGATCATACGGTAGATTATAATGGAATTAGAGACAAGTTTTAAAATAGCCAAAATTTGTTTTTTTCGAAATATCTAGTAAGCCTTGAACTTCTCCGAAAAATCCGAAAGGCGCATATTTATGACCCCACAAAACTGCAATATTCTTTCCCCATTTAACCTACTCTCTATCTCCAGTAGTTTCCGAGATACCCATAGAGAACATCGATCGTAGGAAACTCACCCTGTATAGTATTTAGAAACTAATAGAAACTAACTGTTATTATTATTTGACTAGATTAATTTAATTAATAAGACTCGATTAATTTAATTTAAAATAAATTTGATCAGATCTTTTTTTCGTATATTCTACTACCAGAAAACCAAAATTATATGATAACGCACTTTTCAACGAAATTGAAGGAAGATATAGTGTATCTATCACAATACTTAATAGAATTATTACAATTAGAAGAAAAACAAAAAGAAAAAATACCCAAATTATCCCTTCACCTACTACTTAACTACAAAATAATAAACTATAAAAACACTACTAAACTATTTCTGGTATTCTACACTAAACATTATAATTAAACTTAATAAAATTAATCTAATTTTACACTACAACCACTACAACTACAAGGAAATAAGAACATTTTTTAAAACTACAAGAATCGATACGTGCGACCAGTATAATAGATCAAGCGGACAAAGAATATAAAATACTTTAAAAATGTGCATTCAGAAAGAAAAATATCTCGAAAATTATCTAAACAAACATTTTTTTTCTTATCAGTGAAAAGCATCGGCCTCGTCGGCGTTGCGGAATTTGTCGCGTATTTACAATGGTCGAATTGATTAATTACCAGCTTTTATAGCATATCTAATAGATAAAAAGTATCTGGTCGATTAGTAACCAATTGGCACAGTCCGAAAATTATCGATTTTTATTTTCACTGTTTTTATTGGTCGCTTCAAAATTCAGAGTGACAAAAAATATTTTTCTGTAGTAAAAGACTGTGAAATACGCCCCGCCATCTGGTGCTTTACATCCATTAACGTCTTAGGTTGAGCTACTTTAAAAATTCATATACAAGGCTATTAGTTATTATTACTATTAGTCCAACCTACAGCAATAATTTCAAATAAAAAAATAATGGTATTTAAAATAATTACAAAAAACCTAATTTTAAAAATTTTAACATCCTGTAACTCTAAAATTATGCATTTTCATACCCATGTTTATGGAATTTTTTTCATATTTTTTTGATGGGGAATCAAAGAGTACTTATTTAAAACTTTCGCAAGTTAATGAAATTAATAATTTTAAAGGTTGTTATTAGGCTTGGATCATAACAAATCCATAAAATGGCGTTTGTCGAGAAGGCCGAAATCGACAAGATATCAAGAGACAACTTTTAATCGGCATTAAACTGCTTACACTATTTCGCTAACAAGAGAAAAAAAGTCAGTGGCGTACATACTTTTTTTAAAAAAAAATTCCAGTGATAACCCATATACACGTTCCTGGTGAATATGTCGACACTTTTGTAGCTTTGAAATATGTCGCATTTATAGTAACTTTTATCCTCAAAATTTCATTCGAGACGCTGAAAATACTTAGAAGAAAATTATAATAAATCGAAAAAATATTAAAACTTTAACACCCTGTAGCTACGAAACAAAGCAAAATCGGACCTATGTTGATATGAAGAATTCATTTTAGTGAGGAATCTTCCCACGAGGGATGGCACATGTTTTTTGAAACACCCTGTATATTATTTATAGATTATATTTGAAGGGTCCACAGGGAAAAACATGATAAGCGCCATTTTACTAATTTTGCAGGAGAGCACCAGACGGCTGATAGTTATTAGGTTCTTTCCGTGTATTCTATAATTTTACTAGGCATATATCATAGGATTTTTGCACAGTTTATACATTTCGTAGAAACCAGTTAGACCTACTATAATATTGTAAAAACCTAAAATTAAAAAATTAGCGCTTATCAATTTATTCCCCTGGACCCTTCATCTTATAAAGATTTTATTTTACTGAATTTATTTTACAGGTTTATCCTATTTTTTAATAAAATTTACAGTCTGCCCACAGTTAATGCACAGTACTGTATGTGAGAATCCACCTTTACTTAGTCATTATAAATATTAAAAAACAAATACCTGATGCAATACGACACTCCGGGCAAGCTTTGGCTACACTGAAATCAAACTCCTTTGTTTTCCTCCATTTTGTTATGCAGGTGAAACAATAACAATGATTGCAATTGGGCAAAATTCCGAACTTTTGTTCAATGACTTTAACTTTTTCTAAGATTGTATCGAAACAAATACCGCATGATTTTTCAGCTGACTGGGCTTTTCTAACTAAATCAATCGCTTCATTTGATGAACTACTACTTGGGCCAAATTTATTTGTGAGGTTCTTTGCACATCTAGGAGTCTGTCCTGATGATGAAGCAGCACTCTGTAAAATCATAAACAAATACAGTTCATGTATAACAGTAAATTAAAGCAATAAATGTCACATACTTTAGGGGAAATTACAGGAGAGTTTGAATTGGTTTTCTTTTGTGGTGTTTTAACTTTCTCTTTATCTTTTACTGGATCTTCGTGTATGTTTCGACAATTGCTACCAAATCTACACATTCCTCTTAAATTAAACCTACAAACTCGTCTTCTGTAGTACTCGGCTCCATTGACCTCGACAAAATCCATAATTATCCGAAATTCTACCGACTTTTTCTTTGTTTAATTAGTTTTTCTTCTTCAATTAAACTTTAGGTATCATATCAGAAAATAGTTATCAATTCGAATATTTTTAAACACTACGTCTAGTGACAGATAGAAGATGGAATTATAACCTAAAATTCGAAAATTAACGATAAGATAAGTCAAATATGAAACGTGTTTTTGTTATTTCCAGTAAATTACACTAAAATAACGATACATAGATAAGTACTATCAACAAAAATTTAATCACACGAATTGATCGTTTGAATTAAGTTGCATTATGGAAGGACGATCAAAAATTGGGGCGTGATATGCCTATATAAAGTATGTGTGATTGTTTTGATAAACCAAAGTTTAAATTAAATTGTTGGCTAATATTAATAATACGAATATATCGATCACATATTAGGTGTACCAAATGTTATAATCTAACACCTATTCTGTAAATGAAATTTAATCTACCAACAAGTTTAAAAACTACATATTTTACCTGTTGATTTATTCCAAATTGCGTTCAAGTTCTATAACATTATTCAAAGTAAGCAACTGAAAACAGGATTAGAACAAATAAAAGCATATAAATGATTAGATAAATTTGTGAACAGAGAGAAATAATCTTTTGTGAAAGTGAATAACTGGTGAATAGGTAACTAGAGAAATATTGAAATTGTGATTGAAATCACAGATTGAAATATAACGAAAAGTAGGTAGAAAATTCCATAGAGGAACTCAGTTTTCTAAACTGAATGTGCGGCGTTGCCGGTGCAGAATATTGATCGTATAGAAATCTTAAAATTAAAATTATTATCTAATATAAAAACATTCAAATGATGGTACTGTAAATTAATAAAAATGCTATTTTACTAGTATTATTAAACAAATTGATATATTTATTTGGAATTTAAAACTATAAAAAAAATAACAATGTTAAATATCCCACCATTGCATTGACGGCTAGTAAATAACGGGATATTAACACATAGAAGCCTAGACACTCGTACCAAATATTTAATTATATTTATTTTTGTTCTATAATATGATAAAAATAAAAACGTATAAATTGAAATGCAATAATCATTTGATCATAAACAAAGTTCACAGAAAAAAAAATACCCATTCCTATATTAGAAACCTTTAAATGTCAGATTTAAACTTTTCGTCTCTCTCTTACTCAACCAATCAGCAAGAGAACGACATAATACCACAGATTGATACTTTAAAACGAAAAAGAAGTAACGTTGTCATATCTTGTAACTTTTACGCTTGATTACGTATTTCAAAAAATTAAACACCTTTCAAAAAAACATCCTCGATAAAATAAAGCTATCCAGTAAAAGTATTGTTTTTTTTTTAAATAAGTCATTATTTATATTTCTGTTAAGAATGTTTTTATGTTTTTTGCATTATCACCCCTTTGATCGGACAGAAACAAAAAATCTTCACTTTTTAACTTTTATAATTACATATTAATTTACTTTTATGTTGAAGAAGTTTTATGACGAAAAAACCGTGTATATTTAAACAATATTGAACATTATTAAAAAACTATAATTTAAAAAAAAGTTCAACATAAATCTACATGACAAAATGGCGAATGATCTGTAATCAGGCATATAGGCACAAAAACTGAATTTTACAAGAGATAAAAAAAAACTTTTTTAGCCTAAATAAAATATGGCCAACAATATCAAACGAATACATAACATTATCCGTGTTAATGCCATATAATATCACAGTTTAGTGAAAATACAATATAATATGTCCATGGCGGCTATTTTTGATTTTTTTTTGTTTTTAGCTATTTTTGAATTGTGGACATTTTCACTTAACAAAATTTTGACAACATTCTTTCTGAACTGAACTTTTATTCGGCCCTCTAATACAGGGTGTCCCAGGCTAGTGTACAGGGTGGGTAAAATTGGCCGTTTTATAGGGAAACACCCTTTTTATAGGAGATAGACGAAAACTAATATCGAGTTCAATTTTTATCAAAAACATGAGGGTAAATCGATATCTGGTACCGTTTCGGAGTTACGGGGTGTTTTTCAAAAATGTGCATTTTTAAAAAATCTCTATAACTTCTTGCTATGGAAAATTTTGTATTTTTGTGAAAACATTTCCAAAGCACATTTTTACGTAGAATTTAATGGTTTAAGTATATTTTTTTTTAAAATTAATAATTTAAAAATTATATTTTATTTTTTATATGGCACATCCTGTATATTTTGAATTAGTTGAATTGAATTTAAAATTACCTTTCCAAAAATATAACATACTTCTTAACGGTTAAAAAAAAGTCAACCCAATACGAGAAATACTTAAATAATGATGATCCAGAACTCGCGGATGAAATTCTGCGAAATCTTAATATTGCTCGACGAGAGAGGTGGTGCCAATATGAGAGGTGGTTGCCAACTCTTGCCAATATGGATTTTAAACACTTCAGCAGAAAAGCCTGGAGCCTCTTTCAGACTTTCCTGCTGCAGTGTCTTTCAGGCTTCCACCTTCAAATACTCCACCACAGAGAGGTGGTGCCAATATGAGAGGTGGTTGCCAACTCTTGCCAATATGGACTTTAAACACTTCAGCAGAAAAGCCTGGAGCCTCTTTCAGACTTTCCTGCTGCAGTGTCTTTCAGGCTTCCACCTTCAAATACTCCACCACAGAGGTGGTGCCAATATGAGAGGTGGTTGGCAACTCTTGCCAATATGGACTTTAAACACTTCAGCAGAAAAGCCTGGAGCCTCTTTCAGACTTTCCTGCTGCAGTGTCTTTCAGGCTTCCACCTTCAAATACTCCACCACAGAGAGGTGGTGCCAATATGAGAGGTGGTTGCCAACTCTTGCCAATATGGACTTTAAACACTTCAGCAGAAAAGCCTGGAGCCTCTTTCCAGACTTTCCTGCTGCAGTGTCTTTTCAGGCTTCCACCTTCAAATACTCCACCACAGAGAGGTGGTGCCAATATGAGAGGTGGTTGCCAACTCTTGCCAATATGGACTTTAAACACTTCAGCAGAAAAGCCTGGAGCCTCTTTCAGACTTTCCTGCTGCAGTGTCTTTCAGGCTTCCACCTTCAAATACTCCACCACAGAGAGGTGGTGCCAATATGAGAGGTGGTTGCCAACTCTTGCCAATATGGACTTTAAACACTTCAGCAGAAAAGCCTGGAGCCTCTTTCAGACTTTCCTGCTGCAGTGTCTTTCAGGCTTCCACCTTCAAATACTCCACCACAGAGAGGTGGTGCCAATATGAGAGGTGGTTGCCAACTCTTGCCAATATGGACTTTAAACACTTCAGCAGAAAAGCCTGGAGCCTCTTTCAGACTTTCCTGCTGCAGTGTCTTTCAGGCTTCCACCTTCAAATACTCCACCACAGAGAGGTGGTGCCAATATGAGAGGTGGTTGGCAACTCTTGCCAATATGGACTTTAAACACTTCAGCAGAAAAGCCTGGAGCCTCTTTCAGACTTTCCTGCTGCAGTGTCTTTCAGGCTTCCACCTTCAAATACTCCACCACAGAGAGGTGGTGCCAATATGAGAGGTGGTTGCCAACTCTTGCCAATATGGACTTTAAACACTTCAGCAGAAAAGCCTGGAGCCTCTTTCAGACTTTCCTGCTGCAGTGTCTTTCAGGCTTCCACCTTCAAATACTCCACCACAGAGAGGTGGTGCCAATATGAGAGGTGGTTGCCAACTCTTGCCAATATGGACTTTAAACACTTCAGCAGAAAAGCCTGGAGCCTCTTTCAGACTTTCCTGCTGCAGTGTCTTTCAGGCTTCCACGTTCAAATACTCCACCACAGAGAGGTGGTGCCAATATGAGAGGTGGTTGCCAACTCTTGCCAATATGGACTTTAAACACTTCAGCAGAAAAGCCTGGAGCCTCTTTCAGACTTTCCTGCTGCAGTGTCTTTCAGGCTTCCACCTTCAAATACTCCACCACAGAGGTGGTGCCAATATGAGAGGTGGTTGCCAACTCTTGCCAATATGGACTTTAAACACTTCAGCAGAAAAGCCTGGAGCCTCTTTCAGACTTTCCTGCTGCAGTGTCTTTCAGGCTTCCACGTTCAAATACTCCACCACAGAGAGGTGGTGCCAATATGAGAGGTGGTTGCCAACTCTTGCCAATATGGACTTTAAACACTTCAGCAGAAAAGCCTGGAGCCTCTTTCAGACTTTCCTGCTGCAGTGTCTTTCGAACTTCCACCTTTCAAATACTCCACCACAGAGAGGTGGTGCCAATATGAGAGGTGGTTGCCAACTCTTGCCAATATGGACTTTAAACACTTCAGCAGAAAAGCCTGGAGCCTCTTTCAGACTTTCCTGCTGCAGTGTCTTTTCAGGCTTCCACCTTCAAATACTCCACCACAGAGAGGTGGTGCCAATATGAGAGGTGGTTGCCAACTCTTGCCAATATGGACTTTAAATACTTCAGCAGAAAAGCCTGGAGCCTCTTTCAGACTTTCCTGCTGCAGTGTCTTTCAGGCTTCCACCTTCAAATACTCCACCACAGAGGTGGTGCCAATATGAGAGGTGGTTGGCAACTCTTGCCAATATGGACTTTAAACACTTCAGCAGAAAAGCCTGGAGCCTCTTTTCAGACTTTCCTGCTGCAGTGTCTTTTCAGGCTTCCACCTTCAAATACTCCACCACAGAGAGGTGGTGCCAATATGAGAGGTGGTTGCCAACTCTTGCCAATATGGACTTTAAACACTTCAGCAGAAAAGCCTGGAGCCTCTTTCAGACTTTCCTGCTGCAGTGTCTTTCAGGCTTCCACCTTCAAATACTCCACCACAGAGAGGTGGTGCCAATATGAGAGGTGGTTGCCAACTCTTGCCAATATGGACTTTAAACACTTCAGCAGAAAAGCCTGGAGCCTCTTTCAGACTTTCCTGCTGCAGTGTCTTTCAGGCTTCCACGTTCAAATACTCCACCACAGAGAGGTGGTGCCAATATGAGAGGTGGTTGCCAACTCTTGCCAATATGGACTTTAAACACTTCAGCAGAAAAGCCTGGAGCCTCTTTCAGACTTTCCTGCTGCAGTGTCTTTCAGGCTTCCACCTTCAAATACTCCACCACAGAGAGGTGGTGCCAATATGAGAGGTGGTTGGCAACTCTTGCCAATATGGACTTTAAACACTTCAGCAGAAAAGCCTGGAGCCTCTTTCAGACTTTCCTGCTGCAGTGTCTTTCAGGCTTCCACGTTCAAATACTCCACCAGGGAGAGCTAGTCACGCCTGTAATGGAATATTTTAGAGCAGACAACAAACCTAGCTTGTTAAAAACGTATCATGTGTTTCCGCCCTTAAATTGGTATTCTTTCAGAAGATCGTAAAAACTGTTTAGAATGAAGGACCCGTTTCTCTGGGAAAAACTAAATATTTTTCTGTTGGGTGTAAAATCCCACGTCCATAAATTAATATAATACTTGCTTTGAAACAGCTAGAAACGACTAGTATCAGTCATTAAGGCTGTAAAACCCTAAATTTTAACTTCGAGATTATATAAGCAAAACCCCTAGAAAGCAATAAAACTCCTAAGACGACACTCTTCTCACGATAGACCTCCCACGGGCTAATACAAACAGATTTTGGATAAAAACAAGTATAATTATTAATTTAAATATTAAAGTAAAGTTCACGTAATGATATTCTGAAAGTTAAGGACTGTCCTCCTTTTTTATCCAAAATATCCAAAAGTA